TCATCTACTTTGGGGAAAACAGTTGTATCCTCTTTACTTATATGTATCTTTAAGGTTTTTTTGAGTGCTGGAGAGTCATGCAGCGATGGTTAAGAAGTTAACTTAGTTACCCATCTAGTTACCCTAGATGATCTAGGTTAGTCTCATGATTTGGTTCCATTTTACCTTAGTCTGTGAGACTGTGTTTTAATCTGAAAAGCTTGAAGTCTGCTTATTTTTGTTAACTGTGTTATGCAGTAGCCTAAAACAGTGGGATCAGCAGAAAAATAGGTCTGGAGATACTACATACCACCTCAGCAAGATTCTCTAAATGCATCTGTCAAAGTCTAATCATTAATTATACAGAATCACAGTTGAACTTGGAAGGGACAGCTAAAGCAGTTTGTCCAGTCAGGTTTTGAATACCTATAAGAATGGAGACTCCACAACCTCTCTGGGATATCTATTTAGGTATTTTACTACCCTCACAGTTAAAAAGCTTTTTCTTATGTTTCAGTTTGTGCTCTTTGCCTCTTGTCCTTTCAGTGGGCACCACTGAGAAGTCTGGCCATCTTTTTTTACACCCTCCCTTAGGTAAGCATTGATAAGATTCCCCTGAGCCTTCTCTTTTCTAGGATGAACAACCCCAGCTCTCAGTCTCGCCTCAAATCACAGTTGAGTCCATGAGAGAAGGTTGTGTTTCTGCGAAAACATGTTTAGGAAAGGCAGAAAACACCACAGAGACGGGGGGGGGGGGCACAAAAGAATTAGTGAGAAACAACAGAGGGAACACCAAGGTTAGAAGAGAAGGAGGTGCATGGGGGAGCAGATATTCTCTGCAGGCAATGGAGGACCCACACCAGAGCAGAGAGATGTTCCTGAAGGAACGGTAGCCTGTGGAGAACCCACGTCAGAGAAGAAGAAAAAAGTGAGAAGGAAGGAATGGCAGAGACAAATCGCTACATAGTGACTGCAAGGTTAACACACCACACTAACCTAAAATGAGAAACAATACCAGTTATCAAGACAATTAATACATTTTAAAATTTCATCTATTTGAAATAAAATCTCCCAAATTTCTAGATCAGAAATGCATGTAGTAGGTCAATGGTATAGAACTACTCTAACACTGATATGCTTAAACTGAAGTGGATATCGCCTATTCCCTTTGCACTACAACTAAGTATCTTCTGGTGCACAAATACATTTATAACAGTTAGTATTACTTTAGATAGTATATTCCTCTACAGAACCCAAAAGTAGGGTTTCTTAGAGAAACTGCAAACTTTATGACCTATCTCTTTTTAAAACAGTTTAAACGTCAACGTGGATTTCAAGGTTGATCACCTTGAATCTAGAGAAACTGCAAACTTTATAACATATCTCTTTTTCAAACACTTTAAATGTCATCCTGGAGTTCAAGGTTGATCACGCCCCAACACTTCTGTATTATTCTGACCAAGTCTCTGTTTCTCCCAGTAATTGTGACTTACATTCAACCAAGGCTCTGAGACTCAGCTTTGGCACTCTACTTCTTGTACCTCTTCATTTTTGTAATTTCTCAGACAAGAGTAGAAGTGGTGATATTTAAGTAATACTTACAGTTTTAATTGTATTTTTAATAATTTTTTTGTTTTTGAAATGAGCTCCTTCTCTTTTAACTTGAGGTTACATTCTCCCACATCATACACCAACAAACATTCCAGTGTAGAAAAACAATTACTTATCCATTCCCTATACTGACCAGTATTGCAAGCTGTGATTATATAAATACTTGTCACACTGATTTCAGTAATATTTAAGTCTTCATTGATTACAGTTCCTAAACAACTCTATGTTTTGTAATACAGACCTACAGTGAGGCAACAGACAAGCAGTAGGTGACAAGATTAGGTGAATGCTCACAGTTCATGATGGAAGAGATACAAGACAGTCACTGAAAAATAACTATTGCTGTAGAGAAAGACATACTAAGTGAAGAGAAGAATGAAGTGAAGAAGCACTGAGTGAAAGGCAAGTCTGTGTTTCCACCACCTGCATGAGAATAGACAAAACTGTAGATACTCAACTGAGAGAACTCTGGGCTACTCCATTGCAACAGGAGTTTGCCATTCGTAAGTGAATGGATCTTGGCAGAGTTGCATCTATAATACTCACTACTTTCAGAAAACCAACCTCCTTAAACAAGATTTCAGACCATAAATTGGCCTGGATCAAACTCAAATTCATGTGATGAATTAAAAAAGGAAAATGAAAGCAGACAGGAGATACAACTGAAATAATGTTGGAGTAACTGTAAGGCTCCTAATTCTTATGTTCTTATTTTTTAAATCTCAGTCTTTGCATTATTTTTCATAACTTTCCTGTGTTTTTTTTTCTCTTTCACTTTCACTTGTTTTCCTTTTAATAAACGTACTTGATTTCAATGTAAATAGATGAGTAACCCAGCTCATAAATGGGGTCGAACTTCAGCAAAAGCATGCAATCTCTGCCTCTGACAGCCAAATAGAGCAGATCTGGACTGCATCTACAGGATATGTGAACAAGTGTGTATTTTCAACAAATAAAACCTTACTTAAATGCCTCATAGATGAGATAGAGGAGTTTGTTCACTAAAGTCTAGAGAAACAAAACAGTATAAAAGGGGGAAAAAAAAGTACATGAGCCTAAATTGGAACAATTTGCTAATTCCTGTTTCTCTGTTCCAATAATTATATTGCTATGCTAGTTAACTCACTTGAATAAATTCTGAGGGTAGTGACTGAGGGAATTGCCATCTCTGTATTGTTTTAATGAGAATAAAAGATCTAATTCCACACACACTGAGCTTGAAATTGCATCAGCTATCTCTGAAACAATATGGTGAGCTAATCACCAAAGATAATTATTATTCTTAGGAACAACCATTGTAATACAATATGATTTTTAATAAACCAACAGGTGAAGATAATAAAGCTACCAATAGCTGAAGTTAACTTCTTATTACATGATTTTTACTCTCAATGTTACCATCCTTAGCACAACTTCACTGATTGCAATTTCCTTTAGCACATTAAAGACAAGTTACAAGGGACGAAAAGCATAGTACTTACATTGATTTAACATTTACGTGATCATTTTTCCAGTGAAAGAAAATACTCAAGAAAAACTTACTAGCCATTGCATTTCTGGAGAAATTATTTTATCTGCTTTAGTATTAACCCTCTTTTCAACAGGCTGTCTAACTTGGACCTGTCTAATCAGAGAGGACAACAGAATTCCAGACTTGTATTCTGAATAGTGGCGGATGAGATTAATTAAAAAATCATGTTTTTAAAATTTGTAATGTAATCTTTAGCTTCTTAAGTTTGTAGCCAGCATTCAGGCATGAGATACAATCCATGCAAAAGAACTGAAAGGTTCATCAGCCTAAGGAAAATCCTAAGTGACTCGTTGCATGAGTTAGCAAAGTTTTGCAAATTATGTCACAGAAGGAAAATCTTGCCAGCCTTGCCAATTCCAATTTAACACTCAAAAATCTATCTTAGGTATAATATGTACGTATTTTCTAGATATATGCATACATGTATAGATAGATCAATTGATCAATCAATCAGTTGATTGGTCTTTGTGTTCTATTTGTTTACAAGTTCCATACCAGGCAAAATCATCAGGTTCTCTCCAGAGACTAATCATTTTTTTACTTGTTTTTGGTTTACACATTTGGAAATTGGTATTGTTGTCAAAAGTTATAAATGGACCTGGACAATTCCAGCTTTGCAAAGGGAATATGACCAGAAACAACAGTTTTAAATTAGATCCATTAAAATATATTTCCTTCTGGAGCCTTCACAAAAAGAGCACTGAAGGATATACAGTGTTTCAGAAACTTTTCTCCGGGCTTTTGAGATCTTTCAGTATATCTTACACGATTCACCTCATGTTCTGCCTTTCACCTCTCCGACAATCTGCATTTATTTTATAGCCATAAGATATTCAATCTGCCTCAGTGATTCAGAAGAAAACATTTCACAATACCATTAAATATTATCACCATATTATTGGATTCAGCACTGAGAAAGCGTGTACTACACCAGTACAAGCTATTTTGGGGCATACACCATAAAAACCAATCAGTCAATGAACAGATTTCAGTGGTCTGATAAAGATATTGGTGGAACAGACCAAAGGTTTGATATTAGCTCCATATTCTGCAACAATAGCCAAAGGTTGAGGAAAATAAATAAAAACAGTGGCCATAAATGGAAAGAGTAACAATAGGGTAACTTCAGATACTTGTTTTCCTTTTAATCTTAATTACATTTCTGGCATCTGGATAAATAAATGATAAGGACACAATGAAATCTGAGAACTTTGGATTGTGTTTTAAAATGGTTTCTTTTTGTCCTTCCCTAATATGTACATTCAATACACAGGTTTCTTCATAACACAAACCCTTGCTTCATTTTCATCGCTCAAACATCTCCATCTTACCCAGAGAGTACTAGTAATTAAGTTCAGATACGTCTTCGCAAAAAAACAATCAGAATTAAATCTTACTTTATAATTTTTTTCTGGGTAAAGAAAAGTCAAGTTTCACATGTACAAGAGTTATTAACATCTCAGGCATTGCTAGGAAATACAGAAGGATGAAGAGTGTTTTGATGAAAGAATATGTTTTCATAGGAGTAATGGACCACTTATGGAAACTCTAGTGCACCTAATTCAGGCTAGATAGCCAACTGTGATTTATTAATGTAATATAACTTTTGTGATATAAAGTATACTTTATGTCTATAAATTAAATGCTAGGTATTGCAGTCTACGAACTTTAAGATAAAATACTGAAAAGCCTAGGCTTCCCCAATACTCAGCCCTAACTCCATTTTCCAATATAGAAATGCAAAAAACTCAAAAAAGGTGGCAATAAGTTCCTAAAGGTCAGGTTTCTGAATTATATCCCAATATTGTGAAGGCAGGGTAAAGGATCATGCCTGAAATAAGTCATTAGAGAGCAGAGAATGTATAAGAGAGTTTCTTACCTCGGCAGTTGGGTAAAGGGCTACTCCACTGCCCATTGCTTCGGCACTGTGCTCGAGAAGCACCCTGAAGTAAATACCCAGTGTTGCAAGTAAAATTTACAACATCATTTAGATTGAACTCACTGCCATTAGTCATTCCATGAGCTGGATTCCCAGGATGTCCACATGTGATTGCTGTTAAAAAAAAAATAGGCAGGCTAGCATCTAACTGAAAGGTACTATTCCATGGAATCACTTACAGGTTGGAGCTCTTCTGTCTTTGTTTGGTTTTTTTTGTTTGTTTTTTTTTCCTTCTGAATTTGTCTTTTATATTCATACAAGAAATTTAAGAAAAAATAGGATACATATATTCAGAATTCTTAACTGCTGGGAGAAAAATCTTAATTTCTCAATAAAACTTCTAGAATCTACTTTTTACCTTATGTTGAAAGTTGTAATATAATTACATATATACATGCGTTTTGACACTCATCTGATACGTATTAGACCTTAAAAAATGTAAAGAGTTCACCATATTTCCTACTAATGCAACTGAAAAAAAATATTTTTCCCTAAAAGCTTCAAAATGTAGTAAGGCCAAACAAATTGAATTTGATGTACTGCTTCAGAGCATTCTAGAGTTCTGAAGCATTCCTGTTCCAAAGTTCTTGAGTTGCTTTGCTGAAGTAGCGATCCTTTTAATCAGATTTTCTTATGGCAATAGAGAAATCATTGTTGGGAGTAAATCTTTCCCATTGTGTGTATTACATGTGTTGATTATTCTTAAATGACACTTACAAAATACACTTATGGTCAAGCTCTAGCTTTCCACGACATTAAAATAATATAGAAAAATATAGAAAAGCATCATACTGACAATATAAAACCAGAATGTGTATATATATATATATACACACATACATACACACACACACACACACACACACACATACAACTTTTCAACATTGTGCTGGTGATGTTTATCATACACAAATAAATATCCTATACACAGGTTTATCTTTTGCTTTATTACTTTTGGTTTGCTTGTTTTTTAACTTGAAGAGACATGTGAAAAATAATTTAAATGTGATTTTTTTTATTTTATCATGGACCTCAACTGTGAAACAGTATTTTCAACAGTACCTGATCTTTGGGAATTAAATGGGACACCTTCTTGTATAGAGACTTATTTATTTAGCCCTTAAACTTTGTAAATAAATCTACTTAAAACACTTGAATCTTTTCTGCACCATCTCATTTGAAGCATTGGAAGATGTAACCCTAAACATCAGAATAAAATCTTACTACGTGCACAGGATCAACTTTATTCTAGCCCAGTTGTTGCATTTCTAAACTGTTACAGATGATCATGTTTCCATAAATAAAGCCATTTCCAGGGCCATACTAAATCACTTAACATAATTCTTGTATAAAAAACTATTAAATTTTAAAAAATGCTATTACCTTTAACCTTCTGCAGTTTCCTGAACAAATTATATGTCATAGGTTTTAACAACATAAATTTAGGTCTCTTGTAAAAACTCTAATAATGATGGATAATTCTGTTCAGTTGCCCTTTTCAACAGAAGCACACCCGAGTCAGCCAGCTCCTGGTTAGACCTTATTACTCTTGACAGGATGCTGGGTTTCATAACACCTTCCAGAAACTAAAGATCTCAGACACTGAGATCTTAATCACTGCATCTAGTTCTGTCACCGCTCCATTACAGTTACTAGATATCATTGAGCTGTTGACTGACCAACACTGCAGTAGCTGGATTCACACAGTAGTAGCAAGTACTTAAAAGCATCTTTAAAAAAAACCAAAAAACCCCCCACAAATGCAAAGTAGATCATTTTGGCATTATAGTGTTTTCAATCACCACTAAGCTTTTTACACAATCAATTTAATATTGTTTACCTAAGCAGTAGCCAAAACATTTCAAATAAAGGATATTACTGTTGTTTATATGTCATCTAAATGGTGGATTAGAAATTCCCTCCTCCATCCTAATATAAACAGCTGTCCTACGCATGCACACACGCACATGCATGTGTATCCACACACATGCTAAATGTGTCATGGGAAAATAGATGTACCTGGCATGTCTGAAACTAATAACTCGCTAAGGAATTACACATTTGCCTATTATATTGCAAAGAGATCAACACACTTAATGTAATATAACTCCGAAATATATACTCCAGTCTTTAACACAGTATTTTTCTTAGACCCTGGAGACTTCCATCTCACCACAGAAAATACATAACACAGAAGAAATAATGGTAGTACTGATAGTACTTGAAAAAAAAAAACCACAAAAAACCAGTCTGAGTACCTAGCTATATAACTAAGCCAATGTTTCAGTCATCATTAATATAGTACATACTTTTAGCAAAGAAGGTTAGTCTCCTGATTTCTGTTGTGCTGCTACTCACAAGGAACTGATCAGACATCTTTGTATCTCCTGTTAACTCTCAATAACCAGCAAGTGAAAAGATCTTTCAGAAGATATTTGGCTAAAGTGTGGTCCAACTGGTTATCCAATAAAGGAATAGGGAAACACCTGTATGTCACAAATTGTGCAAGATGAAGAAGGCTGACTTTCATATGAAACTAAGAAGCTAAAGTAGTCACAGGTGGAGTACTCTGAGTCCTTCCTTAGATATTTTTTGAAGATTACAATGTCTAGTACCTGCAACTCTGAAATTCCTTTCAAAGCCAATTAGAAATACAAAATTATGTGTGATCTTCTGTAAAAATCTCACAAAATAAAGACAATTTGTGGTAAATTTTCAGGGGCACAGTCCTTAACTTCTTTATGGTACCTCTGCCATATTTCTAGTTCCTGGTCCACACTGCTCAGTCAGAAAACCATTTCAGTATCACATTAGAGAGCACATTTCTAGCATTGGTAAACAGTATGTTTTTACTTTCCTTCTCAGAAATAACAGCCATTTTTATGAGAATTTTTAATAACTAGAACAATAAATAAATTAAAAAAATAGGAAAATCATCTGAAGCTTGGATGCTGACATAACAAAAAATCATTTTGTATGGCTCTTTAGTCTGGCAGTTATAAGCAAAAGAAAACCATGTTGTAACGGGAAGTATTAGACAACCTATAATGACAGAAATTGCTGCCATTTCTTCTCATAAGAGTAATGATAACATCAATTTAGGAAGAAAGCCTCCCACCCCCCTCAGCTTTGCCCCTTTCTTTTGAAGGGATTTTATTCACTGCACAGTAAAATTAATCCACTAAAAGTAATACTGCTAGCTGGTGGCATTTCTCCTTTGATGAATATAAATCACTTGAAGATATAAATAGGATTTTAAAAGGACAATGACACTTGGCAGGTATTTCCTGCAGCTGTATACAGGTTGAAATTTTCATTTTACCACTAAGACAGAAAATACTGAACATTTTTAAATCTAATGATTCATGAGTAATGTATTTTCTCAGAAATAAAACCAGGATACTAACACAGATTGAACAGAAAAGCTGATCATCTCAGTGACTATCTCTGCATAGACAAAAGTACTTCTGTCTGAACTGCAGACATCTTAAAAAATTACAAAATTGAAATAATTTATATAATTGCTCCATTAAAAACAATAAAAATTGCATAGAAATAGGGAGGCTTATTAAAACTGAAAAAGAACAATAAAATCAACTACACAATAAGGTAGTAAAATAAAAAGCAGAGAAATCAGACTTGACTCTGATTAAATGGCTGATGGTTCAGAAAATGTCACAAAAACTGCTATGCAAATGAGGATGGAAGTAGAGTAGGAAAGACTCAACAATTCCAGCAATTAATTATGGGATTTTCAAAAGCAGGCAAATTAAGAGCAAAAAAAGTCCTACTAAAGGGTATAAAAAAGTTAACAATTTTTCTAACAGATGTGTTATAATCCAATACCATGCCTGGGCTTGCACTGGTAAATATTAGGAGGCCAACATGGAAAAATGGGCAGTCACCATCAAAACTGCACAGTTGAACAGTATTCCAGCTTTACCCACCAAACAATGAAAATAGACCAAGGGATTTTGGTATTCCTGGTGAAAAAATAGGGGAGAGGCTTAGTAAGCCCACATTTGACATAGAAATTATGCCTGGAGAAAGAAAGAGAGATAAATGAAGTTATACAGTTGCAGCCTGCTGTTCAATCCACTTCAATGCCTATGTAATCCTGTTTCTGAAACAACAGAATTCAGAAATTACTGGATATAGATTTTTCAGTCTGTTCTAGGTTAGAAAGTGCATTCGATTATCATAATAACTCTTGCAATTGAAAATAGGTCCAATAAAAATCTGGTCTGAGCATCTCATTCAAACACCTTTGAACACCCAATCCACTGTTAATGTTCAATTACGTTTAAAATAGCAGTAATAATTCAGTGAAAAATTAATTATACTTACGGACACAAACAGGAGTTTGTCCAGACCACTTGTGATCCTGTAGGCAAATTCTGACAGATGTACCAACAAGTCGAAAGCCAGGATTACACTGGTAGACTACGGTATCACGATAACTGAAACCATCTCCACTAATATGACCATTTACAATTGGGTCCGGAGAACCACAGTGACCAGCTACAATAAAAGAACAACACATCAAAAACATATATTCTCACAAAACTTGCCAACATTTACAAGAATCCTGCTAGGAAAACAAAATTTCATCCTTGCTTTCAATAAACAATATATTAGAGTCAAATACTGCACTGTACAGAACAAGTTCTGAGATGTAAAAACTACAGGTGATACTTCTACTTTTTTAGGGTGAAGTGATATTCAAATAGTTTTAATTTTCCTATGTATATTTTCTGCAGATTCTGTTGCAGAAATGACAAATTTGTCAGAAGAATGTCTGGATAATGTAAATTGCAAATGTCTGAAATTACAAAACATTCTGTTTAATTGCTAGAAAACTGACAATTTTAGCATGGATATTTTTTTCCCCTTTGCTTTAGTAAGGTTGCCTTTTTCCTCAGAGAAGTGTGAATTAAAATGTCTTTAACTCTTAAACCCATACTATTATTTCATGATAGAGTTCTGGTTTCTCTCATTCATGATTTGCCTTGGACTTTGTAAGTAGATCTCTACTAATAAACATCATTGGGACCATTCTCTGGTAGCGGCCAACCAGCACAGAGCAGTCTACATCCATAAAATGAAAATCTCTTGCCCTCCAAACCAGCACAGCTGCCAGCAAGCTGCCTACCAGGATCAGTACTGGTTTAAGCTAACTTGAACTGTTCCTGGAAATTGTCTTAGAGAATCTTAGTGAAAAACATGTCTAGGCATTGTTCTCATGATTTAACAGGAGACATAATCAAGTTTCATGCTCGTTTGCATGTCCTGGTGTTATTATTTTATTAGACCAAACATAGCCCTTGTTATTATACATATCCAGCAAACAACTGATTTCTCACTAGCAGGTCCTCAGACATTAGTAGACAGATCCTAAGACTGTAATTACATTAAAAAAACCAAAACAAAACATAACTAATTTTTTAAAAAATAAAGAAAACGTAAATCATTTCTGTGGGATCACCATCAGTCTATTGCCTTCAAGAGAAGAAACACTGAGTTATTTCAGATATGTATGTATGTATGTCCCACTTAGCTATATTAGCTCCTTTACAATGCCATTTAGGCCCCTATTTTTATTTATTAGAAATTTTCTCAGTCTAATTCAAAGCCTGCAACATAGAAAGCAGGTTTCTACACAGACTTATTGAAAAAAAAAAATTCCTACAGCTAAGTATACCTTGTTATGTTCAAATATTTCCTAACATTCAGCTCCAGTTTCTACAATTAAATTCATGTTTATTTATTAATGGCTTTTAGTAATGAATTGTAAAAAGTGTTTTTATCGTGTTTACTCTTTCCGAATAATAGTCACCTTTATGTTATCTTCAGCTGATTCTTAGCTAAACTGACATATTTAATGCCTTTTCTGTGCTTATAAATTCATATTCATGTCAAAATTATAATGAACTCTTCTTTATATTGCTTTCCAATGTGGTCAGCACACTTTGAAATAGCCACCTTTTCCAGACGGATGAAGGCATGGAAAGGAAGGAATGTCTACCAGCACTGTTTCCTCCTTAGTTATATCAGCTGTTGTTAAACAATACAGAACACATTACTCCAGATTAATAGCACTCTTGGCACTAAGGAAGCCAAGTAATGATTTTATTCTCCCTAGATTCTTCATTCTGTTTGAAAACAGAGCTGCTGAGCAGGAAACTCTTTCTCTTTACTGATTAAAGAGGAGGAAAAAAGTTCCATTTTTTGGTGACACTGATTAATTATGACTGGCAATAATTTCATCTGAAACTACGCTAAGTCCTCATTTTGAGATGTGGGGACAGGGACCCGAGGCTCATGTCTGCTGCTGGTATGGGGGTGTGTGACGTTCTGTGCTGTATCCATCAACAGCAAGCTTGTTTGTAATTTAGCTTCTTTGGTATTGAATCTCCTTTCTAATAAAGACTCTTTAATAACACTAGGCAGTGTACTTCATTTACGCTTAATGGCTCTTCTAAAACATGAGAATGGTAAAACACATGCCACTTGACTATTTTTTTCATGCATATAGGATTATTATAATAATCTTAATTGTAGGATTGCTGATGTCTTCAAGAAGACATTGTGATATTCTGTGAATTTGTTGAAGAAAGTATGAATGTAAGGTTTTCACACCCAGCTTCTTACACAGCTACTCTTCCCCTGACAAGGACTATGGCAACAGAGAGTAACAAGGACATTGAAAGTGTATTTTTCTCCTTGAAGTGTCTCATGGAATAATTTACGTTATTGATCTCAGTCCAAATTAGTAATACGATCCCCCTTACCATTCTCTCTCCTCCAGCCTTGCTCAGCCTCTCCTTGTCTATCACATCCTCCAGCCCCTTAAAGGACCCTTCCCCCAGACTTGTTTCAGCTTCCAGTATCTCTCTTGTATAGTGGAGGACACAAAAACTACACACAGTTTTCCACATGAGTGCTGAAGAGGAAATAATAACCGTGACCCGCTGACTACACTGCTGCTCAGAGAGTCCAGTCTGTGATCTTCTTTACTGCAAGGCCACATTTTTAACTCTTGTTCAGCCTTGCCACTAGGTCACCTGGGTTGCTTTCTGTAAAGCTTCTCCCTACCCAGTCAGTTCCAAGCCAGTACTCATGAATGGCATTATTCTAGGAAAAGTGCAGGATTCTGTATTTGTTGAACTTTGTGGGCTTCTTGTTGGCCCATTCCCCCAGAATCTCAAGGTCCCTCTGTCTAGCAATCCAGCATATCAACTGTTCTCCCATCATTTAGTGGCATCCTTAAACTTGCTGCACCCCAGCCTGTTATCCAAGTCACTGACAGAGGCTGGATCGTATTGGCCTCAGTATTCATCCTCAGTATCCACTGGCTGCTAGTCATACTTTGAATCATGAAACGCTACCCTCAAAGTTTGTTGGTTCAACTAGTTTCCCACCCATTTTGTAGTCCCCCCATCCAGTCCCTGTCTTCGTAATTTGACTACAAGGATATTATGGGAGACTGTTTCAAAAGTTTTGCTACAACGCTAAGTGAAAGAACTCTACTGCTGAAATCTACTGAAATCTACATCGGATGAGACAGTCATTGGAAAAGGCAGTAAGATTATTAAGGTTTGTTTTGATTGTTCCATCCTTTCCATTCCCAGCTATTTTCTTGTTTTCCCTATGCCTTGAAATGGATTTAGTTCCTACTTGCTCCCTAATTTCTTCCAGGGACTGAGGTGAAATAGCTGGCCTCTTGCCTTCTTTGGAAACCTGATGTTACAATTGAGTTTTTTTCCAGTAATTGCAGTTGTTCCCATCTTTCAAGCATGGTAGAAAGAGGCCTCACAATGACATATGCATCACCTCAGACTTACCCAGTCAAATCACAGATATTAGTTCAGTTTATTTGTGTAGTTCCTTAATTGATTCCCTCTACTGCTCTATCATCTCTCCCCCCTAAACATACTAATAGGAGTAACTAATTCATGGCCTGGCTAATCTACAGCCTAGATGAATTATGTACTAGAGCAGACGTATGCCTCAGTTTTAATCAGAATTTCTTCTAAAGAAAACAATTCTTCACGGTCCTACATACTCAGGCATTGGGACAATTCTGAAAATTATCATTCAGGCAATTGGGACAATGGCAGATTTGGGGAAAAGAAATCTATGAAACAGATGCAAAATGGGAAAAGAGAAGCTGTATTTATACAAAATAGAGTGGAATACATCTGTTTGGGTTTTTTTTAATTTTTCTAGACCTAAAGGGTGAAGAATTGAAAAGCAGTTGCTGCACTGAAGCCAAACACAGGGAACCACAGGAAATTTCAAGAAGAAGGATAGCTGAGATGTGCCAAATAGCATAATGCAAAATACAAAATATTATGCACTTTCTCTTAAAGGGGAATTTAACAAGTTGCTGGACTTACTATGTGATTCATTTCATTTACAGATCATTCCAGCTAGTGGATTTAATGATTTCTCTGAGAATTTTGACTTATTTAAATTAAATATTCCTACAGCTCGAGAACTGCAAGAGCAGTGCAATAACACAAAATGTATGTAATTTTCCCATCAAGTAAAATTAGATTAAAAGAAAATTAAGGAGGCTTCTAGTGGATTCTTTAATAAAATATGCTCTCAAGTATTAAGGAAATTGTTCACATTGTTCAAGGTTGGTTCAGTAGTTTTAGTCTAAAACATCTGGAAGCAAGATACAAATAATTCTATTTTATTTTAATAAGAATTTGAAATATAAGCCCATATCACAGTATCATACTGCAGTTTACCTATGAGTTATCAATTACAGGATCAGATATTTTTACACAAGCACAATCATCAGCAGGATTTTTTCACACTGATAAATGTAGAGAATTATATATATTATAGAATTACATAAGATTTTACTTTTTTTTGAAAAAAAATGCTAAAAATTAATGAAAATGGAATGGAGTAGATATTATACTTAAGTTTAGATTTTGAAGTATGCCCTTGACTTATGTATAGTTTTGCACCTGAAAGTCATAAAAAATCAGTAAAAATATCTGTTCAGGAAAACAATTTAGTCCATGATTAAATGCCACCAATACTAGAGAAAGAGTTAAGCAAACTCTTAAAGGTTTCCAATTTGATCTATGCCTTACATGTATGTATGGTCACCCTGTGGTGGGTTGACCCTGGCTGGATGCCAGACCCAATACACACCCCCACACACAAAGCATAGACACAAAAACATGTGTTTTGTGACTTATAGGTGCAATTATTCTTGGAAGAAAAAAAGGGGAAGAGATATGAAATATCAGCAGTGTGAGTAATTGACTGAAACTGAAAAAAAATCTTGCCTAACAATTCTTATTTATCCTTGTATAACTAAGAAAAAATACACATAATACTAACTACCTGAAGACTTAGGTCTTATATTTAGCCTTGGACTCATTAACTAGAGTCATTGGTTTTCGCTTTCTTTTGAGAAAAGTAATAAGGACTTGACAAACTTGACAAACCCTTTCCCAAGATACAGAAATTAGTGTACTCAGCTGGCCTGAAATCATAAATTGATTCTACACAGACCAGTGGGTAACATAAAGTGATACCTATTTTCATCTACAGCTGTCCTGAATTACATTCATGCAGGTACAGTGTAGGTAAAAAGAATCTCTGACTCATTATCATTCCTTTGAAATGGAAAGGCTCATTCAGAGCTCCCTGGGTGTCTGCCTCCTGATTTTCACAGGCTTCAGGTAAGTCCTAAAGGCACCTCTGAAATAAATTTGGTGCATGCTGTCCTTGAAATTTAGGAATACACAACTGGTGGCATTCACATCATCTAGCTTTAAAATTTAAGAATTTACCTTTCCTGAATTGCTCTCTGGAGGAGCCTGCATAGTTCCATTGACCTTGTGGGGAATTTAGGATCTTAGATTGTACTCTAAATTGCATCTAAATTAGGTGTCTAAAGTACATGGTGTGAAAATCCCTTATGTGAGAGAATGTAGAGAGGCAGGAAGAGGTTTAGTAGCAGAAATATAACCTTCTGCAGCATGCATGTGATGATAACTCAAATTTAGACTTCCACACGCAGAGCTGTGCAGATTTTTGGCACTATAGAGCTTGTCTGATTTTGAAATAGCAAAGACTAAATAGTGATTAACAACCTTCCAGCTCTAAAAGTGATCTTCTTTGTCTAGTGAGGTAGATCCATGCATTTACAAGCTCTAACCATAGGGTTGCATTCAGCAATCAAATAGAAACTAAAGTCCGCCAAATTTTTTAGAAAAATAATTGGGAAGTATCATAAGACAAGCATTGCTCTTACTGCATTAATAGTTCCTGCAAGAGGTCCTGTGTTCATTACAAGTGGGAATAGATCTGTAGAAATCATTCAAAATGCAGACAGTCAGGTGGAAAAAAAAATTTATTAGTTATGACCAATGGGATAAGATAATGGATACCAATTTCAACCAATTTCAATGCAGATTTGTAAATAACTGAAACAGACAAAATCCAACAGCAAATCACTCCTGGAGAAGAAAAGGATTAATTCATATAAATGAAATTCAAGCTGTATATAAATACTGGCTTTCCTAACTATGAGATCTTGTAAACTTATTAGCTGTTTCCCAAAGAGTTAAAAGCATCACTGTGTGTAGTTTTTAAACCGATTTCAAGAATAAACTGTTTGCTATGTAAGTCCTGTACTGATCAGTTCTTCTCCATCTCTACGCTACTTGAATCCAAATTTATGGCTACAATAGACAATCTTCTGGGGTGTTCGGTGGTAAAATATATTTCTCAGTAGTCAGAATAGAAGAAAAAATTCTTTTCCAGCCTTCCATGAGCAGGAGTTATTTATAATACAAACAGAATCCACTGAGATTTGTATATTATTTAGTTTGTATATTTTAGCAGGTAAATTATCCTGTGTGTATAGCCTTTCAAAAAAGAAAAGCACTACATAAGTACTAATCCTGTTATTATTGATCAGATGATGAAGTGCTATTTCAGGTTAGTCAAAATGAATGAATGCTAACACATATCTTTATGCTTGAAATTATAAAATGCAGGTGCGAGGCACTACACTGGCAATGAATGGTATAACAAACTGCAAAAACCTGAGGGGTAATAGCTCTTTTTTTTTTTCAATATAGCTTGTGTGTTTGCAACAGAAGAAAGGGCTGAGGAAAATACTCCTACACATGCAAATTTGAGGCTGTTGGATCTTCACAGTTGCAGTTCCAACATCTTTTAAAAGTCAGCTTCAGTTCAGGGATAACCTGACACCAGTAGGAAGCTGATGTATCTTCACATACAAACCTCTTACATAGTTCCACTGTGGAACTGATGAACTTATGTATGTGAAAAAGTAATGCTGAAGCATAGCATTCCCCTAACCAGCACCTTAGTGGAATTCTTTTTCCTAGGTAAAAAAAAAAAAAAAAAAAGATGTATTTTACTCCTTTACTGCTCTAAATATCAAAATAAGTAGTAATTAAAGTATAGTCCATTTATGTCATTATTTCCTATATCAAAATGACATCATGTTTAATAAAGCACATTTTAAATTGAAAAGTAAAGTGTATGGAATTGAAAATATACTAAGCCAGAGAAGTGTTTTTCCTCTTCACAAAATTTGCCAGAAACAACTACGTCTTGCTGGGAACTCACTAATAACAAACTGTCATTTAGAAGCTAGGTTAGCTCTATCAGACAATGGTCACTACTTCTGACCACCCTGTAGTTTAAGAGATGACATACTGTAAAACTATATTCACGAAAACTGTACTACAAACATTACTGTTGCAAAATGAAGGACTCAGTCGGGAATACATGATCAAAGGTTATAAAATCTTAACTGAGATTTGAATTACATGATCTCATGCTATTTTTTTCTGAAAAGATTCTGTCTTCATTTTCCTTGCTGCTACAGCCTAGTATCTGAATTGAAACAAGAAAAGGCAATAGACATGGCAAGTAGGACACAAAGACTGAGATTTTATCCCTGTCTCTGAGAGAAGACTCCTATATTTCTGTATTTCATCTATACCCCAATACATCAAATTGTCTGTTCTATACTGATGAAGAATAGAGTTAATATGCAGCTGATTAACTCCACATTCTCTTTCATCAAGGTTAGATTATTATGCTTTTGTCTGTTAGTGCATTACTGTCTTGTGGTTTGCAAACTGTTTCAAAATATTTTCTCTAGAAGAATTTTCAGACATTAAAGATCTTCAGAAATGCAGGATGTTCTCACTAGTACTCTGTTAAAAATCAAGCTTATCTAAAGATACTTGCTATTCTTTTTCCTTAATAACCTGCTAAGATGAAATTTATGACACTTGAAAATTGTTTTTTTGAAGACGTGACTGAGTTGGTATGTGGTCCCATCATACCTGGTTATTGGGATGCAGATGTTCTTCTTTTCTTTTAATAGAATATTCTACCAGGGGAACGTTGCTGTGTTTTAAAATGCAGCTCTGATTTTCTATGTTTTGCTCAGGGGAACTGTAGCCATTTCTTTCAGTTTTGCACCTTGGTGAGAGCATGAACTCAAAGATCCATAACTGCAAATGACCTTTATGATGGTACTATGAAGTAACTTTGCTTAGAAATTTAAGGCAAACCACCACAGTCTGCCTACTTATCACTTACATCTATAAGGTAATGAGCACCAGCAACCTGATATGCCAGAAATCATATGTATGTCTATCTGAACACAGAAAGACAGTGATGCTACTGACATTGAGAAAGTTAAGAATGGATTCAGGTGTCTAAGAATGCTCAGCAACCTTTCATTATCAGTTCCTTAGGTGCATGTAAAACTTCCTTCTCACAGATCCAAACTGACAAAAACTTATTGTAAATGTAGATGTCAGGTTTATTTTGACTTGGTTCATGGAATTGACAACATCAGGGATTCTTCAGACAGCATGAAGGTTTGAAGAACTGATGCTTAGAAAAAGTTTTTTTTTCAGTTTCGTTTTGAATTAATTTCTTCAGATAGGGCAAAAGTACGTTGGTCTTCATGAGATATTGCAGAACATATCTGGATAGACTCTTTTAGTGGGATGTTTTGAAGATACCAAGATCAGAGGAAGATAACTGGCATTTTATTTTTCATGTGCAAAATTGTCATGTTAATATAGTTTTTAAAAACTTAACATTTCTACAGAGTAGGAGGACAAGGGATTTTATAATTTAGAAATGAATCAGCATAATTTATTTAAAAGCTTTAAGTCAAATGTTACTGTTAGACATGTATCAAATTAACCAAACACTGCTCTAGCCTACCTGAAAATTTTACAAGAAGCGAGTTCTGGATAGAGAATAATTGCTGACAATTCATGTTACAGCTACTATCATTTCCTTATAAAGCAATGCTTTTACTGTTTCATTGCTGCAAAAACCAGGAATATGGATTATTCTGATATATGTAATGATATCTTAGTTACTCAAGTTGTTTTGTTTTGGTTTTTAAATCAATTAATTATTTCCTCTGTAAAACAATTCAATTCTTGCATATGATAGATGGTCAAACTGTTTTGTTTAAAAGGTACTAGACAGGCATGGAATACTCTGTGTTCTGCTAAAAGGATGTGGCTAGGCAGCAAAGAAAGCTGCTTTTTAAGTGAGGCTGAACTCTGAAGAAGAAAAAAGAGATTCCTCCTTTCCTGAGAGCAACCGAGTACATTCAGCTGTGAGGCAAGAAGAAAATCTGCAAAACGAGGGCAGACAAAACAAATAAAAGATTCCAGAAATAAATATACTGTCCACAACCAAGAATACAGCCACTGCTGAGTCTCAAAGGTAACTGAAAAAGAAAACAGTTTTCTTATGTCTATATTAGGAGTGCAAACCAACGTGAGTGGATCTGAAGAATGAAGGAGTTGGGATGAGAACTTAAGGTCCAAACTCAGGGTTTGGAAGGGTGTTGGCTTTGCTTTGCTTTGGGCTGTCTCTTGTCTACTTCCCTTGACTGAATGTTCAATATGCTGAAAGCTCATTTGTAGTTGGGAAGCACCAGGAATACTCCTGAACTGAAGCTCATCTTCCAGCTTAGTTTCATCACACACCCTGTGACTGCTCCACAAAGCAAATCAAAGTACTGTAAATGCGGGCAATCACTTGAGTCACTTAAAAAACCCTGCTGGTCCAAAGAGCATTCCAACAACATCAAATATAATCTAACTTTTAATAAAAAGGTATATGTTTGTAGAATAGTATAAAATCATATGCAGTACACAATATTTCTGTATTTAAGATACCTTTATTTTTCATTGATTTAAAAATGCTGTTGCTTGATAAAAGCTGAATTCCAGTACTTGATACTGTGTTTGCTTAAAACAAAACAAAAGAAAAAACAAAAATTTGGTTTTTTTTACCTAGGCATTGGGTTTCAGTGCCACTCCAGAGACCGTTTGCCAAGCATTCTCTCACATGAGAACCAACTAATGTGTATCCTGTGTTACAGGTGAATATTGCAGTAGCTCCATACACTGTTAAGGTTCCAATCTTATTTCCATTTGGTGGAGATGGAAGACCACCACAGGAGATAACTAGGAAAAAAGCCAAACAGAAGAAACTGAAATATGAAAACACTTTTCATAATTTCTTAGACAGGAAGACAATATACCACCTCACATTTTCTTAAAAAGTAAATGTAATAGAAGTGAGTTGTAGTCCATAGTAAGGGCTTAAAATTATGCTTGATTTGGCAACACATGTTCGAAATCTGAAAATTCATTAGGAAATCTTCACATCTTGAAGGCAGCTTAAACACAATCTTTATTTCCAGTTCTGAAACAAGGGAATTACATGAATACCTAGGAAGGTTGTGGTTATATTCCATGTGTACATACTCCTGGCTACTCCCCAAATACACCTTCTCTGGCGATTTTAAGTTTTATGTCTGTTTAAAGATATTACCTTTTTTAACATGTAGTACTCTGCATTGTTATGAACTGTCTTTTTTCTTATTCCCAACTACTATTCATAACCATATAACATATATGGTAGTCTATTTGCTAAAACTATAAATCTGTTTTTTCTTAAGGCTAGGCTTGACCCATTATCACAGAAGCCTTCTGTAGCATAAGCTGCAACCCACAGCTATTACAGGCACCACATGAGAAACTACCTTTTAAGAATGTATCAAAATCTAATTTAATTAAAACCATCCTGTTATGTCTTTTGGTTCTAGAAAAATATATCAATAATATTGTAATTTAAGATGCAGACCAATGCTTTCAAAAGCTTCAATTGTATTTTATTATATTTTAGCATAAATCATGGGTTTACTTTCAAAAGCATGTTAATCACAACTAAACTTCCTTTCTGAAACCTCAAGGCCATGTTCTTCTATATTTTAAAAGGTTCACTATAGAAAACAACATGGAAATGGGTAGAAGTTGGATAAAATCAAGTACATACCACTGTGCAGCTAACTCAGTCATAATCAGAATATACGTGATCAAAGTTTCTTATGCACGTAAGGCTTCCAGAGGTGGATAAGACTCCTTTTGACTACAATCAAGTCACATTAATGTAATTTGTGGAGTAGGCTAACATTGTAACCTCTAATGCTAATGCTGATTATTAATTACACTTATGCATATGTTAGAAAAATCAAATTATTTTTCTAAAATGCAACAGAATGAATTGTTCTAAACATATTACAAATGCTTTATTATTTTAAATTACAGTGACTGTAGTTAAAAATAAGTAAAATACATAATAATGAGCCACCTCATGATTTGTTAGGCAGCTGTTCAGCATATTCTTAAACAAATAAAATAAATTTACTATTTAGGTTTCTCTTAACCCAGAACCCCCTTAATTTGATGTTTCGCAGTTCCTTTGGACATACCATTCACAAGTCGATATTGATAAATATGATGTAAATGCCTTATCATCAGTGTTTCAATTAGCTTTCCTGCTACTTCAGAAATATAAACAGCTAGAATCTATATTTGTATCACCTATCCTTAGCATGTGAATGACAGACAGAAAATAAACAGTAGACTCCTCAAAATACTCTACAGTGTATTTCTGGATCTTAATGATCTATATCCAGTGGAAATAGTATTGAACATTTATTGGGGGATGAAATTAGCCATAATTAAATCCTAAGCAGTCCTCTATAAGAGGGCAAAATAATTTGCCTGTCTTATAAATACACTAATATACCTTCAATCAGCAACATCTTGGGTTTCTGTATCTACCTAATACTTTGTTTTGTGTTGACTGCATCCCATATTGGTCATCCCATTTTCTGCTTACATAGAAATTCTGTAATTGTAGAGGTTGATCAAGAATAGCTTTTGAAAGACTTCTCAGTAGCTGAACAGTAGCTGCATATTAGGCAGCAAATACAAAACTAGGGGTTTTAGTAAGTGTGCACAAAAGGAAAGGGCCACAATTGCAGTTAATAGAATTAAAAAAAAATCATTAGTTTTAAATTTGAAAAGAAAATTGATATAGCTATTACTCATTTATAAGAGTTATAGAAGAGTCACCTTATTTTTCCAATTGAATATTTTCAAAAGGAAATTTTCCCCAAACAAAACTAACGGAATAAACTAGAACCAATACTTTTCCACAACCCATCATCATTTAGATAAGATCAAATACACTGCTTTCATGTATGTCATACTGATTGCTGTTATAGGTAGCTCGCTCAGCCTTTTTCTGAAAACATCTCATTTTTTTCTTTTCTAGAAAATAAATATTGTTTTATATTATTTTTAGCTAAATGGTATACATCCTTCTTTGTTCTCTTTTCTATATTCTTCTTTTCCCATGCTAGCATCATTCTCTAATACTGCCTCTCTAAATTCTGTGCCTGAGGTTTGTAGCCACACACTTCCCAGTACTGGTGACAGATTTTGTCAATTTATACTTGAATCACCCTTGGGAGTGATTCGGTACCATCTGAGATGACTTTGGGTGTTCTGTCTAGCCTCCAGCTGCTGTTGAAGAAGGCTGAGAATCTCTCCCAAGTTGTCTTTACTATCTACCAGCTTAGATACTGCAATTTGTCTCATATGGCATTAGGAGCTTGTATTTAGGCAAATTAATTTTGTCTTCTGTTTGTCACGATATGTATATCATACTGAAGGTTTTGCTCAACGATTTGTTTGGAATATGAAAAGCTACCTGATGTTTATGTTCATTCCATTATCACTATCATAGAATCATATGAAATACTTTTGGTATCGTTTGTCATAAGGTATTATTGACATATCTGCAGATTTGAGAGGGTTTGACAGAGCAGAATGATTCTGTTCTTTTTTCTTAAAAAATACCACGAGGTGTAATTTAGTAAGCTGTTCACCTGATCCCAAGAATTCCTCCCTACAGTGCTGCCATAAAAATTCTCTTATTGATTCAGCTTGTTTCAGAATTGCCATTCTCAAATATTTTCTAACATTAGAAACTTCACTGAATTTAAAAAAAAAAAAAAGGTCACTCTCTAAAAAGGAAAAACAAGCTTCTCTTTCAGGATGAAATACTGAATTTGAATATCTCACTGAAATGACATACTACTCTGAAAAACTGAATGCCTAAATTTTATTTCCAGTTCTGCTTAGTATGCTAGGCCTGTCAGTTGGCCATTTTCCTTCAGGTGCTGGGATCTTCTGTGCTGCCCTGGCATTGAAAGAGATCCTCTAAGTACTACCACAATGTAGGAAAAGTTACTGCTTTAAGGGTAGCAGAACTAGGTGATGTGCCAAATATCCTCTCCGACCAAAGCAAATAACACATTGGAAAAAGAAGAAATGAAGTTTTGGGGGGATTCATTAAGGTTCTGATACTGTAACCCCTGACAACTGCATGATCCCACTGAGAATTTCAAGGCTTTCTAAATCTTTATATATCCAAAGTCAGGGCTGATGTAATTCATGATACTTTCGTATGAAGACATTATAAAAGCTCGTATGTATGTTTCTCCAACAGCAGAGTTTTCATGCTTCACCAAAGAAGTCAAAGCAATCATCTTCTATTCTAACTCTTATCTGGAATCTTCTAAAGTAATAACATTACCTCCTAGTATTGTCTAAATACTCACGCACTATCTAGTTGAATAAATCCATAGTCAGACACAGATCATCATCCAGATTGATCTTCTGATGCTACTTCATTGACTCTTGTATATTGGAATATATTGTACTTTACACATAAAAAGCTTGAATCAATTAATTTCAACAAGTTAATGAAAATTTCATATTTGCTTACTTATAGGAGACTGATAGCAAAATATTTTTTAAAAAACTTTAACCTATTTATAAAATAAAATATATGTATGAAAAAGCATAGGATATTCTGTGAACAAGTAAGTTCCTTACCCTTACAACTTGGCCTTTCATTGCCTATGCTCCAGGTTCCATTAGTCCGGCACTGTATGAGTCTTCGACCCAATAAGTAATATCCAGGACTGCAGCTGAGCATGACTTGAGCTCCATACTCATTCAGTGACCCAGAAATCAGTCTCCAGACAACATGTTCTGAGAGCAGAGTCTCTATGCTGGGACAAGTTACAGCTGTGAAGAAAGGACACTTAAATATTAGCATTCTACCACAAAGTTTCTTCACAGATACATGTCTTGCCTTACTGGCAGAAGTTTTGCAAAGTAAGGTTGAGCATATTGTAAGCATTTTTGAAATACAAGTTCCAGGAAAAATAATGAACAATGTACAGTGAGTATTACAACTTGAGCAGGAGTTTGTAGTATATTTTCATTTAGTGAGATGCAGTGGAACAATGACATACAGTTATGCTCTCTAATGAGATTTATTTAAAAATTTCAGAGACAAAACACATCACAGACTGCAGTGGATGTAAAAGGGAAAGCAAATAATGCTACGCAATTTTTGCAAAGGCTCAAGGGATGCTTTATTTTTTTACCCATGATATTCACTTTAGAAAAGTTCTAACAGGTTCCCAAAACAGGTTGCCAAAAAAGCCGTTAACACACATTCAAATACTAATTACTATAAAATGGTATACTGTGGGTAGTCAGGAAAATTATTACATTCCAGTTTAGAACAGTTGACATCATAAAAAAATAAAGATAACATTTAGAGAGATTTTTAGACTGATTTCAGTTCTGTTGCTTTTAGTATTTCAGATTTCGTAAGAGAATTCACTTACTGCCAGTAGACAAGAATTGTAGTTTATGTTTTTCGTAAGGCTTAATATAGCTACCAATCATATATGGAATTCTTAAATATTTTTCAGTTTCAATTTGATGCTGTGCAATTCAAGATGCACAGAATATTTACAATATTGGCATGAATTCTATCTTAATGTGCCTATGTTTCTGTAAAGATTAATTAGTTTTATGAAAATATTTATGATTACTTTATTTAAAAATAGCTGTATTTGGTATCCTATACCATGTTGTTCAGAATTTCCCTGCTATAGAAAAAGTCTGAATGAATTAGTGACTGTTTATATCCCAACAAGTACTTTAGAAAAAATTACTACCCCAGGAACACTTCAGAAAAGCTGTACTTTCCAAGGAAAAACAAACAAAAAAACCATGTAACAGAAATTTAGTTCCTCTTCTTTTGTTTTCCTTATATGTTGCTAAAAAAAAGTTGTCAACTTTTCCAAATATTTCGTATACTTAGGAATCATTACCTCTGATCTTTTGTGCAATATACTTAAGTCACCACACTGTTCAGTGTAAGACAAAAGCATTAGGAGGAAACGTGTAAAAACCCCAAACTATACTGAAGAAATAAAAAGAAAAGTCTGATTCTCATTTATGCTATAATAAATTTACACCATTCTACTAGGGAAAGGACTAATAAAGCTGACAAAAAATACTTACATATTCTGTAGACTTTACACTGTCTCAGAGGTATAAAGTGATTTTATCATGAGTATGAATGTGTGATGAAAAGGCCTAGTTCAGGCAATCAATGTGTGGTGGGGTGACCCTGGCTGGACGCCAGGTGCCCACCAAAGCCGTTCTATCACTCCCCCTCCTCAGCTGGACAGGGGAGAGAAAATATAACAAAGGGCTTGTGGGTCAAGATAAGGACAGGAGAGATCACTCAACCAATTACCGTCACGGGCAAAACAGACTCAGCTTGGGGAAAATTAACTCAATTTATTACAAATCAACCAGAGTAGGGTAATGAGAAATAAAACCAAATCTCAGAACACCTTCTCTCCACCCCTCCCTTCTTCCCGGGCACAATTCACTCCCGGATTCTCTGCCACCCACCCCCCCACCCCCCCAGTGGCGCCGGGGGACAGGGAATGGGGTTTACGGTCAGTTCATCACACGTTATTTCTGCCACTTCATCCTCCTCAGGGGCAGGACTCATCAAACTCTTCCCCTGCTCCAGCGTGGGGTCCCTCCCATGGGAGACAGTCCTCCATGAACTTCTCTAATGTGGGTCCTTCCCATGGGCTGCAGTTCTTCACAAACTGCTCCAGCATGCAGTTTGTGCAGCGTGAAGTCCTTCAGGAGCACACTGCTCCAACGTGGGTCCCCCATTTTCTGCCAGAAAACCTGCTCCGTGGGCTCCTCTCTCCACAGATCCGCAGGTCCTGCCAGGAGCCTGCTCCAGCGTGGGCTTCCCACGGGGTCACAGCCTCCTTTGGGAACCCACCTGCTCCGGCGTGGGGTCCTCCCCGGGCTGAAGGTGGATATCTGCTCCCCTGTGGACGTCCCTGGGCTGCAGGGGGACAGCCTGCCTCACCATGGTCTTCCCCACGGGCTGCAGGGGAATCTCTGCTCTGGTGCCTGGAGCATTTCCTCCTCCTCCTTCTGCACTGACCTGGGGGTCTGCGGGGTTGTTTCTCTTACATGTTCTCACTTCTCCCTCTGGCTGCAGTTTCTGCCTGTCCCAGCAACTTTTCCCTTCTTAAAAACGTTATCACAGAGGCGTTACCACTATCGCTGATGGGCTCAGCCTTGGCCAGCGGCGGGTCCGTCTTAGAGCCAGCTGGTATTGGCTCTGTTGGACACAGGGGAAGCTTCCAGCAGCTTCTTACAGAAGCCACCCCTGTAACTCCCCCACTACCAAAACCTTGCCACACAAAGCCAATACAAATGAAATACCGGGAAAGCGGCAGAAAAACAATTCCTGTAAAAACCTAAATTTCCACCACTTTCCAGAATACCTTTGACAATTCTAGAATTATTTATCTACCTTTTCCAATAGTTATCTTACCCATGGTAAATTCTAGCATCTAGGAAACACAGAGCTGGCACCACAGCATATCTGTGAAGATGTGTAAGAAGTTATGAAGGGGAAATCATCTGAAGAACTTCCAAATGACAGATTATAAGGTTACATTCAGTTGAAATTGTAGAATATTTTCTTAGGGTTTTTTTTTTTTTCAGTATATCTTGGAAGGATTGCCAGCGTACAATCACTTTGAAACTTAATCGGTCTTCACTTTGGTCTTTATAACAATATTCTGACTAGTGATGAACAATTTCCCAGGTTAAAGGAGGACTTCTTACTAATTTAATTTAATTTGATACTAATAATAAACTGTGTTTCATAGCTACTCAAAGATTATAAATTATTTACCAAGAAGCATTTTTTTCTTATTTGTTGTTAAATACATTAAGCATATTAAAGCACTTCATTTAACACCTTGGAGTGAAAATCATATAGGTCTGTCAGAAAAAAAAAAATATTCTAAACAGGTACTTAATACCCCTCAAATTTAACATTTTTATCACTTCTCCTTTCAAGCAATATTTTTATTGGTTCTTTCAAAAATGAAAGCAAGCTTCTTATTTAGTCTAATAGTAAAAATATTAGTCTTAACCATAGGGGATATCTAAAGACACTTGGAGATAAGAAGCTCAGCTATTTCAAAATATGTAAATAAGCCACATAGATGTTTCCTCTCCGTACTGAGGTATGTAATTTATTCTTTCTTTAGCTATAAATACACTTAGAATCTTGTTGCAAGCACACTTTACAAACAGCTATCAGATTCTGATACGTGATTTTACAGTTTCTAATTGAGAATGTTACTGAGCACAGAATATACTTATAGACTGTGTTGATGTACTCAGCTAAAACTTTTGCTTGAAAAATTTTAACCTTACAGGGACTGATTTTGATTTATTTTATTTCCCATCATTCAAGGAACAAAAAACCACTATTAGCAGATGCTGGATTTTGTGCACATGGTTTATGAATGAGTGCATCAATTTGCCTCTCACAGTCTCTCTCTTGCAAATTATGGGCTGGGCACTATTTAAATTGTCATTTACACAGATGAAACTCCGTAACGGACAATCTCAACTTCTTGCAGATGTGAAGATGTTATCTCTTTTCTCCAGGTATTTTTAATACAGAATGATATGAATAATATTGCTTTACATAAAGTATAGGTCAGAAAACATAATTATTGTTTGAAATTATGATTAAGATTACCCATTTTAATGACATGATGATCACCATATACTGATAATTCTGAACAGACTCAAAAGCAGGGAATTCATAATGACATATACCTACCATAAAAAAAAGACAAAAAAATTGAGTTGTTCTATAAGCCCAGGTATATTTGCTACTCAAGACACAAGCAAAATGTTCACTAAGCAAAATGTTCACTATATGAACAGTGGCAATGACAAAAAAAAATAACAAGATCTTTTCAACTGCAACTAAAATCTAACAAGAATTTGTGCAGTAATGTGCTTAGCTTTTAGTTTTAACTGTTCATAATGATTAACTCTTTTTAATTTCATTATTCTTTTTACTTGCTCTTCTGGTCAACAAACACATTGCACTATCAATATTTTCCTAGAATCTGAATACCAGAAGACTGACTTTTCCATTTTACTGAGTTGTTCTTCTGTTTACAAGCCTTTGCTTTTCTTATTGTTAAGTAAGCAAAAAAAAAGTACATCTCATGCTATTCCAGGAATATCTTGAATACTGTGACTCTGAATGTAATTATTGTTTCAAGGGGGAAAAAAAAAAGACAACTACAATGTATATGATGGAAAAATATCTCAATAACAGGAATTTTCTATTATTATTTGCAAGTGTAATAGCATCTGATACTTGGCTGCCATTCTTTAGCAGGTAGTTAGCAATCACAAAGAAAGGGAAAGGGCATTTTTGTCTTACCGTATTGTGAACTTATAATGCAGTAATAATAACTATATTGTTCAAATATACCCTTTTGACTAAATCCACTAGTAGCTTAAAAAAAGCGAGATTAAGGTCAAGTTGTGTATAATGCTTGAGAGACTAGTGTGGTTTAAATTAATAAGTATTAGTAAAATAAGAAGACAGTAGGAAACCAAATAATCCCACACACCACAGAATCTAAGAACAAAGACCTGAGAACAAAATAGGATCACTTGAGCAAGTTGATAGTTTCAGTATGCTAGTAGAAAAAAAAAGCACAGAGAAAAAAAATTAAGCGCTTTTTGTAGTTCAATATTTCCACAGGATAGGCTTCGAAACCTCAAAATAGATAAACAAAAGGATCACATGGTATTCAGTATCAGTCTGTCAGTCCAGTCAGCAAGTCAATCTGTTATCA